TTAGCGGCTTCGGAAGGAGAAAGTAAAAGGCTTCAGTCGTCAAGTTGAATGATCCAACCCAAAATAGAAAACCTGCCAAACGCCTCCCCTGCATGGCTGCAGCTCCATCTCGCCCAAAAACTCCATGAGAAAAATACATCGGCAGCAAAATGAGTCCGGGAGACCAGCGAAAGGAAGGAGGTGAACCTCGAACCTTGAAAGAGGCTCGAAGACGGGGCGGAGGCCCTGGCAGGCAAACCCTGCAGGCCCTGTCCTGGGACAAGGCCTCAGAGAGGGTCTTTCAAGTTAAACAGCTGCAATTCTTAACCCTAATAATACTGACACCAGCGGTGCGAAAGGCGAAAGGCAAAAGGCGGAGTGGCCGGGGCCTGGCTCAGCCCCGAGCGGGCCTTCTAGCAGGGAGGGGCGTCGGGGACCTACCTAGACCTGCTACCCAGCTCTTCCCCACGCGCAACCAACTACCTCTACTACTCAGCTACGCCCACGTGCTCCCTCCCGGCGTGCAGGGCGGTGTGCCCGTCCCCTTCAGAGCGCGGCCTCCCTCTCCACGGGACAGTGTGAGGCCGTGGAGGGGGCTGGGCCTGGACACCCACCGAGGCCTGGGCAGCCCCCAGACGGTGTGGGTGGGGTGCAGGCTGACCGTGGCCCCGGCGTGTGGCACCCCACCTGGCTCCCAGGTGTCCCCTCTGAACGCGAAGGGCACAGGGCCCTACTGGCCCGGCTCCTTCTCCCTTCTCTCCTCTGTCTCTCTGGTATATTTTTGTCTGAAATTCATAGAGTTCATGAATTAAGGCCGACAGAACCCCCAGGTCATGTGAGCAGGGTTCCAGTAACTTTCCGTGGTGTGAAGACAGGTCCCTAGGGTCAGTTGTGGCCCTGGGGGTGCTGGAGGGCGGGGTGCACGGCTGAGGGCTTGGTCCAGGGCCCGGCCAGCAGCGGGGCGGGGCTGGTGCTCGTCATGGTGACCTGGAGCATCTGCTCGCCCTGTATCAGTCTCAGGAGGGCCCGGAGGCGGTCCAGGGACGACTGGGTGCCCCTCTGGCGGGCCAGCAGGCTGGTCTTAAGCTCCAGGCATTTCTGTCAGGGGAGAAGGTCAGAGAGGAGGTCTCAGAAGTCAGCGCTGCAGCGTCCGGGCGGCCGCCCTCGCGGCGCTCGCTCTCACAGCCTCTGCCGTCCACTCAGGCGCCCAGAGACCAGGCTGAGGCCTCCAGAAACCCAGGCGGCAGTGGAAATGGAGCTGAACAGCAGCTAGAGCCACAGGGCACGTCTGTTTTGGAGTTTAGGGCTAAAAAAGTGTGCTTGTGCAGCAGTGTGGCAACGTGCCCCTCACGGCTGTGACGCGGCCACGTCCTCCTCCCAGCCAGCGGCCCCCGCTCCTCTTCCTGCCAGCAACTGCGGCAGCTGCGAGGACCTCGGCCTGCTGGCTGGCGTCCTCTCCTCCTCTCCAGCCAGCCTCTTTACCCTCCATGTCACGACAACAAGGTAAGGCAGTAAGGACCGAAGCCTGGCGTCAGATGTCCGTCTGCTCCCATTCAAACGCTGCCTGGGCAAACAGCCACCGCCCTGGGACTGTTTCTAAAACTACTACAGGGCAAGCACAAAGCCTCTTCATGGTGTTACTGAGAGTGTTAAATGAGATGTTGCATTTAAACAGCATCGCCAGGGCCCAGCACTGCTGTCACCATCACCATCATCACCACCATCATCATCACCATCGCTGCCTCCAACACCACCATCACCACCGTCACCATCACTACCATCACCATGATCATTACCA